CAAAGGAAATCTCTTCAAATTCAAATAAAACACCTTGAGCTAGATTCGAAATTGTTCAACCGTAACCATATAACATTTGTGTGAATACAGTTTCCCTTGTGATATCGGGAGCAAATAGAATACCACCAAGATTGAAAGATGAGCGGCACGAGTTAGTCACGCTGCTGATCAGCCAATCGTAGCCGAACGGTTAATTGTTCAAACTACCAGCCAGAAGGTCGCGGGTTCGAGACTCTTCGGAGTTTCGTGTGATGCGCACTGCTGATGACTCCCAATAAGGATGAAACAGCTCTACAGCATATCTTGGCTTTTCAGCACACCACCGACAATCTATAAGTAGCTCAGTGGAAGAATAAACTTCACGCGATGAGTGAAACTTCTTCCTCCTGGGAAGTCGTTGCTCGGGGAGACAGTCAACACGTGTGATCGCGTGATGTGGATCCCGTGATTGATCCCGAGGCGTGGTACTTTACACAAAAATCGATCAATAAACACATCGACATTGACCCACTTTATCAGCCGTTACGAGCAAAAGAACCACACAGCCACGGGACTCGGAGCCAAGAAACCTAACGTCAACCAACGGACTAATTGGGTCAAAGGAAGACAATAACTAAAAGCAGAGGGCCGATAAACCAACCAATCAAGAGAACAAAACCCATACCACAAAACAAGAAGGAAACGACCGAATCACAGCAGAACAAACACATACAGAACTGCCGAACTAAATGCACGTAACGAACCAACCGGACACAGGATATTGAGACCACGTCAGATTCACAGGGGACCAATCAAACTACACCACGACCGTTTCCAGAACTACCAGATACTGTTTAGAAGCTATATAATCACAGGTAGAAGAGGAGGAATTCACTCACTCAACCCTGCACTGACGATGTCACCTCGATTGGTGATGGTGATGAAACGTTTGCAATCTAACTACTAAGCTCGGTGAGCGGGCCAACAACCAAAGTCATTCATCTTACTGATCTTTGTGTACATCAGAAACCTACAATATTCTAAGCTTTTTCCGCAATCCACTGGTCTATCGATCAACTCAGTCGTGTGTGAATTCGCGTCAGGTCTGGCTATATCAGTGAGAATCGGGGATGTCCCATGCAATCTATTTATCAGAAATATCTAACCTGCGTCCAGTTTTATCTCTGTCAAAATTGTGACATGAATAGAACGAGCATTTGTGGCAAACTTTGAGCTAAGTTTTTAAAATGGGGCGTTACTTAAAACAATGGGAAGCAAGCTAACAAGTCATCGGAAAATTTGGGAACGTTTCCCAGCATTCCAGAGCTATAACGTTCAACTTGGTTTGTCCCTAGCAGCTCGCGTCAAACTCATTTTTGACGAAATATGACGCAAAATGTTCCTTTCAATGAGGTAGAAGAATACATTGTGCAATGATAAACACCGAGGCCAGCCGCAAGCATCAAATCGCAAATCTTCTAAGGGGAATTTTGCAGAGGTTCAGCATTGGCCACCACAGGCAGTTATCTCATCTAAAAAAGGGGAAGATCTCATCTTGAAACAGAAAGACTTGAGACAATCTGTACTGATATTCCCGTGTTTCCTAGCTTGATCGCCCTGAGAAACCATCCGTTTAATGGTCTTTTTCGTTTTGCTCTGGACATATCAACTCCGGTTTCCGTTCCGTTCAATCGAATGCTACCAGTGGCACTTTGATTTACTTGGGGGAAATCAGAAGCACACTTTACGACGTATGGTTGACTCAAGATGTCGGTAATAGCTATCTTTGAATCGAAGACCTAAGAACAGGCATGACTCTGTGGATAACGCTGTCTTCCTACCGCCTGAAAGAGTACTCAATTCGGGTTCTCGAGACATAGAGTTCACTTTTCAGACAAAAATTTACACCGATGAGCTAACCCATACCATAAAATGGTGAACGACTTTCATGGGGCTGTTTTTAGTCTGTCCGCGTCTTACTCCTCTTGGGTGAATTCAGCAACGACTATAAGATTTTATGGTTCACAACATGAGATGCAAAAAAGGGCTTGTCTCTTCGCCACGGTGAATGAGAATCCAAGTTTTAAATTGTTGACGAATGCAAAAACTTGAGCGCTCCAGATGCATACCAACCAACCCATGTGCACTCCTTGGCAGTTTGTATTTCCGTGGCCTCTAACGCGTTTCCAACGCTGAGTTTGAGGACGAGCAAGTCAGCATCGGTCCAGTTATTTGTCACAGATCCAGAATTTCCATTTCAGCGGCTTATAAATTTCGATTATGGGCTCAAAGAACCAGCCGACAAGGTTCGATAATACCATGATAGCTGAAGATATTTCCCGAAGCAGAAGCTTGCTGCAGTTAGCCGCATAGTCCATCGTTTGTTTTCAAAAACTGCCTTATCGACATTCCACTCAAGAAGAACATCTTGAAGGCACGAAACTTTCTCCTATTGAATTTTACTTTTAGGAGGACAAAGAAATAAAGGAATGCCAAAACGCGGGGTACTTCATAACAAGATACAGGACGAGAGAAAAGACTTTGTCATTGATCATGCGTTCTCAGATCATGATTCGTGGAACACGTTCATTTCATGATAACAGATGACACCCTAGCCGAAGTCACCCCCTTTTGGTGCTTTGAACACTTCTTATACATGGACGCCATCATCCAAAATGTGCACCAATGAATTTACACCACGCTTTCTTGAAACGTTCCCCAGGACATAATGGGAAGAGGTTCTTATAGCATCTGAATCTCAGATTCTTTGAATCTGATATTAATTGGGACTTTGCCTATTCGAGGATATCCGCGTCTCGTATTTGGTGAATAACTTCGCGTCACAAATTCACTCTTCCTCATCCTATGGCGAACCTAAAAATGTAATCTAGGATTGACTTTGATAGCAGCCGTTTTATACCGGACTGCTCCATGAGGCAACCTGGTAGCGGCTATGTTCAGGGTATCAATGATCTCCTTACCCCGTTTTTCGTTGTATTTCTCGCGGAATACATTCGTATTGATTTAAACAAGTCCGGTGAATTGAACTTGCAGTACGAAATCAACACGGTTACGTTGAACGAGGTAGAGGCTGATGTGAGTTGGTGCACTTCTCACCTTTTGGACACAATTCAGGACAACTACACTTTCGCGCAACCTGACATACAGAATAACGTATCTATGCTTGCCCGTCTGATTGAACGCGTCGACTCCACATTACATTGCCACTTAGCCAAACACCATGTGGCGTATTGGCAGTTTGCTTTCCGATGGATGAACACTCTCTTGACTCGTGAAATTCCCCTTCGTTATGTCATTCGCCTATGGGTTACCTACATGGCCGAACCATCCGGGTTTTCAGCATTCCACATCTATGTCTGCGCCGCCTTTTTGCTCCATTTCTCGGGTGAACGACAACGTCAGAAGGATTTTCAGGGCCTGATGATGTCACTCCAACACCTACCCATCTACCATTGGACTGACGAAGATATCAACCTGGTGCTGGCAGAAGCTTTCCGATTACAATCTCTGTTTGCCTCCGCTCCGCGGCATTTGTGCCTAGTGCCGAAAAAAGACTCGCTGATAGGGTGCACATCTGGCCAATGGCGAACAACCGAGTGCGTGCGAGTGCGACACTTATATGGGACCTCACGCCATTTTGAATTTTACTTTAATCGATCCGGGCTGTTGCTGAATTGATTGAATGCTGTATTGGTCTGGATGCTTGCCGGATTTCCTACTGAGCTTTTGGTGGAGTAGGTTCCGAGTTTTCCGGGTTGCCTCCAGGAACCAGAGCTTACTGATAAGCCAGTGATCCAGGATGTTCTTGAACTAGATATGCTGCAGAAAAAACCACCTCGTGTTGCAGCTGATAAGATATTCGGGATAACGCGGCCAATTTAGATTAAGAATATCATGAGCGAAAGATTCAACTTTATCCCGTTATTAATAAAACAATTGTTAGGTGTTTTTTACCATTCACGGACAGTTTGATTTCTGGGGGGAATAAAGAAGTGGGGGGAACGTGTTTTCACACCCTTCTTATTGGATGTGTTCTTTCTTGTATCTATGACGGAGTGTTGTCTCTGGGTTGGGTCATTCAAACACGTCCACAAGTACGGACGAAACCGAGAGATTAGTTTTTGGTCCACAAAGTAGTAATATCTCCATTCCAAAGATATTATCCTACGAAAGAACCTTGCTTCACTTAAATTTAAAATGACTTCAAGAACACGATCTTAGCACAAAATTACTAGAATTGTGCGCTTTGCTACATGGCCCCGGCATCTTGTCACCCCTGAATCACTGAACAATACGTTATTTTCAATCCCTCTTATTTGAGCAACTTTTTTGGCTTCATTTCACTATGTTCCTTGAGCGCTCCAAACTGTCTATCTGCTGAAAATTCATCTCTTGGGATTGACTATATCGCTCATGACCTCAACAGGACTGTTTTGATGGGTCTTGAAAACTTAGCTCTTGCTTGACAACATACTCTCCCCCGAAACGGGACATGTTTGCCAGAGAGTATTGATTTCTTGCCAACTTAAAAGGGGAAATGCTAAAGAATATTCCACTTAGGATCAGTTGTATTCTCATGAGAACGCAAATCACAGCGGGAGATCTGAGGCATTCGATGGTCTTGGGGACAAACGCAGAGTGTTTAATTAATGTACAAAGTTTCCCTCGAGCAAGCACACGTTTGGAGGAGCGTAAGTTAGGTGCCATGCAATAACCAGTGAGCACACATCCAGTCATCTGATGATGCCCCTTTTCGTTGGTGCACTTCTCAGATAACCGCTCAACTGGACTTCCTGTAATAAGTCTCCTCTTATGGGAGAGTATTGATATTGCAGCCCAAATGGATCAGTTTCAGAACAGACTGATAAAATCGAAAATTTTGGAAACGAAAAGAGACTCTATTACCTTTATTGATGTCGCCCTTTTTGTGTCGCTTTCTCACGTACGGTCAACAAATGCAGAGTTTCCGTTTCATTTCAGTCTGACCGTCGAACACCGATCGCGGAGTTATTTGCACGACATTGGAACAAGTTTGAAAGAATGAAACTGCAAGATGTCTGCTGAAGAGCTGTTGAGAAATCGAACAAGATTTGTAATTCTGTCAACCCAGGTGAGTCAAATCTGACTGGTTTTCCTTCAAGAAAACATGGTACTGTGATATTCTATGGTGGAAATTTTTGGTAGCTCTGGTAGGGAATGAAGGAGGTGACATCATCAGTGCGTTATAGGGGAGCGTAGTAGTGCTACGCATACAGAACTCTACAGAAGAGAATGTTGGTAGGTCAGATAGCACTAAGACTTTTGAAGCACTTGCAAGGCAGCTTATGGTCTTCTGTGAACGTGGCCACTGATAAGGCAAACCAGTTCCTCTTAGCCTGTCGAATAAGAGAGTTACGTTGGTTCCGAAGACTTCTGTAGTCACCCATGAGACCTTGCATGATGTTTCTATATGGTAGCATCAAGTAACCCCGATTAACAAACCACTTCTTAGTCTTCCAATCAAGCGTTTTGAGTTGGTGGACAAAGTTTATAGAGTGATTTGAGGGGGGACACAGGACAACGGAGCAACCAATGGAACCGCCCGACGGAACAACTAATCTCGACCAAAGGTCATCTCCGGCTAGCGGCACGTATATTAAAACACACGCGTAACACTACTCAACGCACAACCATCAACCCATCAACGCTGCGTACCACTACACTCCCCAATAACGCACTGATGATGTCACATCGATTGGTGATGAAACGTTTGCAATCGAACTGCCCAGCTCAGCGAACAAGCCAACGACCAGTACTGTGATACCTCGGATATCTCATCAATAGAAACAAACACTAACTTGAGTATCATAACAAAGGAGTGATTTAGCTACATTTCAGCCTAGTCTCCCATGGCAACTGATACATTTTTGAATGAGTGTATCTCGAGAAAAGTTGAGTCCAAATAGAATACAAGTTTGACAGAAAATCAGGGTGTGTACGTAAATGATGGGCGCCTGGAAGGATAAAACCGATCACTGGGTGTCCAAGCGCTTTCACAAGGAATATTTTGTTACCTAAAATGATCAAAACCTTGTCCTTGATAAACCTTTTTCGATAGTGTTTCCAGAGTATCAAAGCGTTCCACAACATACCCAAGACGGGAAAAAGCGGTCAACAGGCGAAACGTGATAAAATTATCTTCATATTTTCACAAAATATCATCTTGCCAAGTAAATGTCCACTCAGTTAATACTAGAGTGGTCAGGTGCAGTCACACGTAAATGAGTGAATAGCGAAGCAGAGGTACACGGGCCAGCGTGCTAATGAGTTAAGCTGACTGCGTCATAGCATTGAGACCCGCGTAAGTCAGTCGCTTTCTTGGCCCAGAGCAAGTCCCTTTCTTTAACAAAATCATATTGGTAGAATGAGTGGCTGGTGTACTCGGCAACGAGTCGGCGAGTTGGTGTCGAAAAAGGACACCCTTCTTCCTAAATGAAAAGCCAACATCATTTAATAACTATTGAACCGTAAGTGACTCAGAGGTGAACGATACATGCAAAGGGTGAATCTTCTGACTCAAGGATGAATTGTCGCTTTATTCTGGTTTGCTAAGAGCTAATCGCACTGCTGATCATGGTTGCCCGTAGTCGTTATCGATTTGGAATCGATCGAAATCGATCGAAATTTGAACTTCAATGTCCATATCTTTCCGCACTGTGATTTTGGATGCAAACACAGCCTTCCTGGCATGCTTATGGACCACCTTATTCTAAAGAAAAGAATAAAGTACGTGGGGAACTGACTTAGCTTAGACAACCACATTATTCCGGGCTGAGACTATTTCCACCGACAAATCATTCAGCTCCTCCGAGAATTTAAGGAAGAATCACGCGGACCCCATCATGAAGGACACACCTCACCGAAAGCACGCAGATTCTTCGCTACTGATTTCGTTGCTCTCTGCCAGGCCAGCGTTTGACTACACCTTTACTTTCGTCATTCTCAGTTGGTTTGATAAATAGTCCCAGAGTTTTCACCAACCCTTATGTTTTAGTTGAATTTGTCGAAGAGTTTTCAGCAACCTTGTGAGTAGTCTCTTTTATGAATATATACTGCGTTATGTCGAATGTCGTGCCAACTGAATCATGAAGCGACCTGTGTTCAGCACATTCAGTTGAAGAACATCATAAACCAGAGATTCATGTGGGTCTCCCGTGAAAAGCAAATTGATTTTCCGATGGGTGTATTTCGAAAACAGTTCCATTCGGGTTCAAGCAGAGCATAAGTTCGCGGAAACTTGGGGACTGTGCCTACCTGATGGCCCCAAGAAGAGCGAAACCGGTCGTGGGCTGTCGAACAGTCTTCAGCAACCTGGTGAGTAGTTTCCTTTATGAAAATGCACTGCAATATCTCGAATATCGTGCCAACTGAAACCCGAGGCGGCCTGTGCGCACAACATTTAGTTGTAGAATATCATAAACGAAAGAGATTCAGTCGAGTCTCTGGTGCAAATGAGTTTTCCTCAATACTATTCCGATTATAGTTGAAAGGAGACGAGGAATATTCATGGCTTTGTGAACGCAAATAGTTGAGTAAAGTCAAGTGAGGCTTTGTAAGTTGGATTAAAATGAGGAACACTGTGAAGGAATGCGGAAACTCGGGAATAATTTATCATGCTTAGCTGAAGCAGCTGTGTGTGTGTGTTCGGGTGTGACAACAAATCATTCATCTTTCCTAGATTTGTGTTTTTTTGCCGTCAAGATTAAGCAAGAAGTTTCGGTTGGATTAGTAACATGTGGATAGCAAACAATCAAATCGGTTTTGACAAAACGTGGGTCCCACAGCCATCGTATATGCCCCGAAAGTTTTCATGTTTATTCAACTTAAGTTAAGTTTTTGTTCAGCTTGTTCAAAAGGCACGCGGAATCTCAGATACTTCCAGGTAGGTCAGAGGAAGACAGAACACAATCTGCGACCAAACTTTGGCATTTTTTGTGAACAAATGAATAAATCAAGAATACTTTGTGGTTCAGTCATTTTGACATGTACTTTTACGGGAAAATATATTACCAAGTAGGTGGATTTATGATTTATGGCTTTTGATACTCGACTGGTCGCCTGGTCACGAAAAACAATGATCTCACCAGCCCACACCCAATTTTAGAAGAATAACGCCTCTCGTTTCTGCCGGCACCATATTCGAACCGTCGTAGTATATCTTCTTTCTTGAAAGCTAATCAAAATTCTACTGAAAGCGGTTGAGTAGCTCATGACAGATTTCGACCTTGTAATGTACTACTCATAAGGTTGCTGAAAATGCGTCGACAACCGATTACCGGGGCTCATCAGGTAAGCGCAGTACCAGCGTTTAGCTGGATTCTAGGTGAGTCTCTCGGAAAAACCAAATTAGTTTGCAAATGAGCGTATATTCTCTAAGGTTCTGACCATCTTGGAGCTCATCAAGCGGGCGCATTTCCAGAGTTTTTGACTATCTCATGCACTACTTGAACCGCAGTTCGACAAACACCCTCAAATGCACACACAATTGGGCATCACGGGGAACACAACTGAGACACAACGAGACTGTCGTTTATGATCGTTTGCTTCCACTGAATGTGGTGCGCCTCTTGTTTCAGTTGGCACAACGGTTGAGTCTAGTGTGATACGTGTAGAGAATGCATTCCGATATCTCAGAGATCGAACCAACTAAATTACGAAGAGACGTTTATTCAACATTTTCAGTTGTAGTGAATTATCACAGAAGTTAGATGCGGCCGGGGTCTGTCTGACTCTCTCGTTGAGTGTCTTGGACAGATTTCGCGCAATTTGAGTTCTACCAGAACGGAGGTTTGACGAAACTCGGAGACTGTTAGCACCTGGGGCTACAAAGAACTGCAAAACGAGAAGTGGTTTGTCGAAGAGTTTTCCGAGTAGTTTTCCGTCAAGCAAATGTACTTGAGTAGGGCGCATGAGATACAGGGGGCCACCTTTGTGTAGCTTTCTTATTTCAGAAACGTCACAAACGAGAGATTCAGCCCGGATTCAGGTGAATTCATCCTGAAAATTAAATTTATCTCTAACTGAGTTTATTTTTCCAGAGTAGTCTTTTAATTTTTCACGGGTTGTGCACATGAGCAATGCTGCTTCTTACTGGGGTATTGCCGTTTTGACCTCGCTCTCACTCACTCAATTTTCGAATCGGACTGGCCACCAAAAACACTAGTTCTCAAGCGTTCGAAGCCAGATTTTGCGGAGGAAACAGTCAATAAATTTTGAGCAGTACCATAAACCTGAAACCTGCATGATGTTTAACATAAAACGTACGAGACTGCTCTCAGATTGGTTTGAGAGATCATTGGGCTCGTGTATGTTAAGAAACTCTCTCAAGTCTGTCGTATTCTGAATGGTGTTCAACAAACGAGCTGTCTTGATACAGCAGCAAAGAATTAGTTTGTGGTGCCTGCTCAGACCACTTACCGCTTGATGCCGTTTGATTCGTTTTGTGGTCTCCAGAATATGAAAGCGTCTAACTTGAGGAGAGAATTGGCGCTGAAACCAAGATCCATGTATGACACATAGATCTAAGGTTCTTCGCACTCACTGTCACACCGATATTCTTCTGGCGTATCAGCCTTGATATTGAAGTGCAGCCAAACTGCCCTCGCGATTGAAACGTCGGTTATTTCAGCCTCCCGAAACTGCAAGCGATCATCTGTTTTTATCAGTAACTACACGGGGTTTCCGTTTCAAGACCCGGGAAGCTTTGTAAGCTACATTAGCGACTGGATCCTAGTGTGGCCTGGATGTTGAGTTTAGTACAACCTGAAGAGTTTGTCAACAAAGGAGCGCCTGATGTGAACTATCACGAGGTTGGTATTCGTTGGGTTCGGCTAATCATCACTCAAAGGTTTTGTCAGCTGTGCACCTGGGGTGAATCACTATGGGGCCAAAATAACACAATGATGCTTTTTTGCTTGGTCTACGCGGCGAAGTTTCATTCCCATTTACACACACACACACACACCTTTTCTTCTCCAGAGCTGTGAAAAATATTGGAGTTATCTTGGGAAACGATTTTATCAGTTACTTGCTTGTATTTTTGTCAACAGCGACCTACGAGCAAATAAACCTACATTACCCGCCACTTCTTTTGTTATGGACTCAAACCTCGTCTTACCGGTCGAAGCGAACTGAGCGTGTCTGAATCCGTGCTCTATGTCAGTTAGACTGTGGCTATGTCGACGGTGTTACATTACAGCCCAAAACTATGGTGTTACGCTAATTCACGACAAATCGATGACGTCATCTCAACTGAATACAGATCAGTTGCAAGCAAACAAATATTCATATTAAATCGTTACATAAAACGAAATCTTTTAGGGACAGAAAGCAGGCTTTCCACTACACTACTTGATGGTTTATGAGTATAAAACGACTTTTGGCAGTCTATGTACTGACCGTGTTCAATTTCGTAGTTTGTCTATTCCTAATGCACTACTCATAAGGTTGCTGACAGCCCACAACCGTTTTTGCCCTTCTTGGGGCTCATCATGTAGGCGCAGTCCCCGAGTTTCCGTCAACCTTATGATCTACTTGAACCCAAATTGCACTGCTTTCGATAACTACACCGATTGGCAAATCAATTTGGTTTTCATGAAAGACTCAACTGAATCCCTCTCGTTTATGATATTCTACAACTGAATGTGCTGCACACAGGCCGCCTCATGATTCAGTTCGTACGATATTCCAGATATCGCAGTATATTTTCATAAAGGAAACTACTCACCAGGTTGCTGAAAACTCTTCGACAACCCACGACCGGTATCGCCCTTCTTGGGGCGCATCAGGTAGGCGCAGTCACCGAGTTTCCGTCAACTTTATGTCCCACGTGTTTGTTGTTTCCAAGCTACTCAGCTGAGGGAGACTGAGAGTTCATCCAATTGGCTCGTAACCATTGTTTTATTCCTGCCAAACTCTACCATGGTTTATCATTGTTCCAGGACTACATCGAAGCCGCTCGCGTGCTTGTCCAAGCTGGACTGCTCAACGATTCCCAAAGTTTACTTGTGCCAACTCCCCGAAATGGGACTTTGTTGATGACGCGCGATATCTCAGCCTTTCTTCCTCACACCAATCTATTGAAAAATGGTTCCGCAAAGTTGTCCGACTCATTCTGTTCTCCCTATCATCGAAGGATATTTCCCCAACTGTTCGTTCAGACCATCATCATGATCTTCACCGTTCTAATCAACAGCCTGACCAGTCTTGTCTTCGTTCGTCGAGCTATGCGTAATCCGACAAACACGGTCCTCTTGGCTATTGCCTTATCTGACCTATTCACCGTTGTCCTACCCTTACCAATCTATCTCTTGGACCTCACTGGCCTCGTGCAGGATACCGAACCAAGCATAGCCGAAGGATATCTGCGTGTCTATCTGACTGTGATCCTTCCCACGGCTTGGCACACCGCTTCCATTTGGTACACAGTCATTTTGGCGATTCAACGATTCCTCTACGTCCAGTTTCCATTGAAAGCGACCAAGTTCGTCTTGTGTCGCCAAGTACCGTTGAGCATAACGGTCGTGGCCACATGCATGTTAGCGTTTGTTTTATTTGTTCCAATTATGGCTATCACAAAGTACTACTATGTGTTAACATATGTGGTCGCTGATGAAGCTCAAGATGGGTTGGCCTTCTTGGACAGTTCCATTCACGTACAGAAATGCACTCAAATGCATCAGGACACGTATTTCTCGCTCCTGCTCTTTCGAGTCGTGCTGGTCAATGTGATACCTTGCGTAGCCCTCACAATTCTCACTATCCACTTGACACTGGCGCTGAATCGGTTCGCGAGCAAAAGAAAACGATTGCTAAGCAACTCGACCAATCTGGTAAAGAAGTGCCAATCCGAACAAAAGCAGCAAGCTTTGGATACAGAGAAGTGTGCGGTTGACGCTAGTCAAGTGACAAACGGTGTTCAGTCCAGTCTTAAGCCTTCGTCCTCATCCACTGCGAATTCCGGTACCGCCACAACTTCCAGTAGACCGGGAGACAAAGATTCTACGTCGCGCATGTTGCTAGTCGTTCTAGGAATCTTTCTTGGTGTTGAAGTCCCAACGACAATCGGACTGTGCATTTACTACATTCAGCGGGACCCTCCACATTGGATAGAGACAGTGAGTTTGGGTATTTGTCGTCCGCTTACTGTCGGCTTATATCATAGTACATAACTTGCAATCACAAGTGGTCTTGTAAGACTTAAATGGTCTACAACTCGATCCCAATCCCAATCGCTGCTTCGGGTTTTCAAGGACAATGTTTGGGTTCACACCCATCAATCCCTGTCTAAAGAACTCAGTTGAAATTTGCCGTCCCGGACTCCATTCTAGATGGCTCAAATTCGCTCATCTAAGAACCTAGCAAACTATTTTGTCATACGTATCGATTTACAATGAAATTTTTTCGCCTACTCGAACCCAACTAAAGAATCGCCCTATAACAGACATTATAAGTGAGTTGACAAAGAGTTCAGTACATACAAATGTGGTTGGCCTGCTCACTCGATGATCTTGGGGTCGACTTCCGGCGTGTTCTTATTTTCCGGTTAATGCTGTTTCAGGCCGTCCGTCTGCTTTGGTCTTGTCAGTCATTGTCGGATTGTTTCCATCTATTTAACTCCCCTCATTGGGTTTGTTGATTATCTTGGAGTTATTCTTTCTCCTTTGGTTCTCCCTGAAACGTTTGCATTCAACTGAAAGTAGCATCATTGTTTTAGAAGACGGTTTTCAGTCTCTCGATTCTAAAAAAGCCGACATATCATCCCTTTCTAAACCGTCTCCAATCAGTGAATCTTCTCTTGGACTGAGCCCAGTGGTAGATCGTGAGCCTTATTGCCAACAGTAGGTTGACCTCTTCCACGCGCCTGGGGCCGTTCATTCATTTTTTTATTTAGTTGCGATTGCCCTTACTCGCAATAATGCACCTATGATTGCATGGAGTAAAATTCGTGATAGAACACGCAAAATGTGACGAAAAATGCCGTTGCTAAGGCAAAAAACAGAATGCAACAAAGAAAAAATTGTATTGCAATTGCAAAGGCAGTGTCAAATAAGCTAACCCACGAAGACAGGGAATCATGTCAGTTGAACACATTGTGAGCCACCGGAGAACTACATAATGAATGACACAAGGAATTGTTTGAGAAACAAAAAATATAAAACCACAGCGAAAGGGGCAGCCAATTCAAAGAAAATTAACTACTAAAAATAGAAGGTTGCTTAATTAACCAGGCAGGAAGTCCATACCACATCAACTCAAGGGACCAGGCAGGACGAAAGAAGGCAAGGAGATAAAGACGCGCAGAAAACAATTCAAGTACGCGGGCATGGGACTGCAACTTTCATTTTTGAAACTTACGGAGCAAGTTTCTTGAAAGCTACGCCGCAACTAGCCGGCCAGAGTTCAAGGACAGTCCAACCTACCGTATCGTTTGCGTATCTAAGCTTCGTTTAGACAGAGAGAGGAACCGTTTTTGCCCATATACGACAACTTAGGGTGTTGTCAAACTCCACTGTCGATTGAAACTTGCATCTGATTGGTTGTACGGGACTTGAACCCACCCTCTTCGAGCACAAGCATCATATGCTGGATGGGTGCACACGGCTTGAACTTTCATGCAGATGGTGTCCCGAGAAGTACATATTACAGGGTTAGCCCGACAAATTATCAGTACAAACAGAACAGCGTAGAATTGCAATGTCACACACAACTCACTCTAACCAAAGGAAAAAAACTCCTGAGCAGTTCAAAAAGGCCTCACAAAAAAATCAGTGGACTTTTCTTGATAATATTCATAGTCGGGATAAAATCCTCGAAGTGAGTGGGTTTCTGCGAAAGTCGAGCTTTTAAGTTCTTGAGGTCTGTCCCACTCAGCAGACTGAGTCGGTATTGAGTGAGAGCTGAACGTCCTTGTGAGATGCAACGAGTGACCGAACTTCTGTATTACTTTGGTTGGTTTTGAAACCTTGTAATTCTTTCTCTGTTCTTATTCATGTCAGCTAATCTGAGGCGCCACGACTAGAAGACTAAGCGAGCGGGGTTAGTGGGGAGACCTTGCGGATTTTGGCCTTGTTCGAGCTAACAAGTCAGTTCCTGATGACGCTGATGGTAGGGACTTGTCTCCACTAATCTCCTCACACCACCCTGTGCTCTCCATTTCCATACTTGTGTTCTCTATGCACGTCCAAATTTCCCGATGCTTTCCTCTGCTACTCAGAAATGACCTTGAGAAAATTCTAGAATGCTACACCAAGCAGAGTTACAACCAACAGCTAAAGTTTGTCTTGTAAAACACGGTAATTTTTTAGCAGTGTTGAATGAATTGTTTTTTCAGTGTACTTCCTTTTTGACCGGTATGCACCCGATCTAATCTGTGGTTCGTTCAGTCTGCGATGTGTTCTGAGAGTCGCTGTGCAAACCTAAACTATTACCTTCTAAAACGTTGTCTTTATGTTAAGAGTTCTTTATATACTGAATGTAAACTCTGTATCCAGCTTCGATTATCAACACTGGCAGTTTGATGGCCTGGAAGCCTGTTCGATTATCAACACTGGCAGTTTGATGGCTACCCACCAGCCCGGAAGCCTGTTGATCCGGACATTTCTCGGTTACTTCTTCCCACGCGTAAAGCTGTTAGTTTTTCAAACAGTGAGGGTACTAACGCTGTCCTTGCAACTGGCGGTGCTTGTTTTTTTCTCTGAACAGTGTGTCGTCAACACATTCAAGTACAGACTAAAAGAATCCTTCCTGTTTTTAATAGAGAAAACTACAATTTTGCCGGCAAAGTCATAGGAGTTCTAATCTAACTGTTCGTACAGATGTAGCACCCTTCCGGTGCCTAGCTGCCATGCTACCTGAAGGTTGCACGAGGACTGGGATACTGCCAGGTTGCTCAAGCCTAGACAGGGGAAGTCGAGAGGCAGAGGTCAATTTGGAACCACGGACGATTCATCACAAGTCAGGATCAAAGTCGCCTTTTCTTATCTACTTTTGTGAGCATACCTTTCATTGACACGTTTCAGGGTATGTGAAGCTCTTTATCCAGCTGTCGCAAAATTTTTTCGGTTGTGACAACCACTACACTCACTTGTTTCGTCCGCACTAAAACAAAGATTCTTGGAACACAGACTAAAAATCAAGAGTTACTTTCCTGCTCTCCTAAGCTTCACTATTTACTACAAAAGTTACCATGGGCGACATTTCCTCCCAATTATTGGCCCACCTGACAAGTGAACTGCACTTCAATAAATAGCAGGCAGCTTGATTTTCTCGATTGGGAATTAAATGTTCGGTATTAAGTAGCAGAAATGGACATGGGACAATTCCACCGCTGTTGCTTTGACGCTGAGTAATCCGATTTGTTCGGTCGGCGGGCGTTTTCGACTCTCTTTGTCACTGAGAAAGCCAGTCGAGCAGGAGTAACGAACTTATCTGGTAGCTTTCCAAAGCTCCAAAGCCAATCAGCCTTTAGTCATCCGGTGACCAAGGCATAACCTTTTCCCTTATTATACCTGTCCCCCTATGAGTGGGCACCGACCAAATCTGACAACTAACACCTTGGTAACAAGTGTCTGATATGCTGTACTAGTTTGTCGCAGTTATACATAAGCAGCACCTACTTATCTATTGTCAAAAATAATCAAACACTGTAGTTTTGGGGAACAAAGTCTACCCACAAGATGTCTGTCGTTGGGTTCCGTGGGAATCCAAAAACACTTGTTTGTGTTTTCGATGAAGTTTCTGGCTTTAATGAGGTTGATGTGCACCCATTTGATTAGTCTTCAAAAACGTTTGACTTATTCTTCAGGTGCAAAGCACCAATCAGATTGGGTCTCAAAAATATGTGGCATACTCGACTACTGGCAACAAGGATAAAGTTATTCTATCGGTCCATCAAATATTTGGCAGAAGACCTCTCTCCGTAGCCTTATCAATTATTACCAGCGGAAATAATTTATCATCGGACTGAATTGTTCTTGTCATTTGACAGTACTCGTCTGATTTATCACAGGGCTGTCAGGCTTCCCACGCGTTTGACAGAGTGCTTCAGCGTATACTTAAACATTCGGTTTTTTGTGCCATTCAATCGATCTTTTCGAATGCCCTTACTCCGATGTTTCTTCTGGCTATTCATCATCCGAAAAGGAGTAGCTAGAAACGTGGGGATTTCTAAATGTCAGCTGGGGTTGATGACTTCGAAAATGCGTGTAAATCACGCATTGGAGTTTGTCATCGTGTAGCGAAATGATGCTTTCAGCCGCTGATCTTTGTTGATTCCGATGTCCTCAGTTTTTAAATTATAACAACTCGTATGCGATCTAAGACACTTGCTCTAGATAAAGGACATTCTTGGAAGTGCCCTAGACTGTCTGAACCTGTAACCTTCAGGCTGTTTGTTTAAGACTGGACCGTCTGGCCAAGGGCGGCTGGTGAACACTGTGATAAACTCGCATTTAGACGCGAAAACAGATTCACAAGTTTGAACATTCATTGTGAAAAGTCTTCACTTGAGGATCCAATCAATAACTGACCACGTGATGTGGATTTCAGTCGCACTGTCGATTAGCCGATCATGACCGAAAAATCAGCTGTTCACACTGGAAGGTCGCGGTTTCGAACACCGTGGTGATTTATGAGCTATCTTTTGTACTAATTTCCAGAAAGAATAAAACTACTCATTGATTTTATGCTTTCAGGTTGCATTTACAAGGTGAAATCCGCAGTGAGTATTTATAAATTAGATTGAAACTGGATCAGAACCTGGTTGCAACTCAGAATGTTCACAGACCAGCACGGAGTTTGAAATTTCACTTGATCAATCGAAAGAAAATGAGGCTGCTTGGAAGCACGCCTTGAACGGTCAAAGGTTGCTAATGAAAGCAGAACCCTTATGTCTGTGTGAATCAGGGGCGAATTTTTTTAATACTTTGACATGCGCATTTCTACAGTCCGGTTCGACATTAGGTCAAACTAATGATTCTGTTTTTGCAAACACATGAATTCAGTTGTCCATGGGCCATCGAATGGGCTAGATTAAGAGTCTTGACAAAGGTCCAAACTATAGTCCCGGCATTCCCATTGTTCAGCTGAAATAATAAGGCGTGACAATCCCAATCATTGTATTTTCTCGGTATCCCACTATGTCATAAAAAATTGGCAAATACAGCCGTAGGTGATGTTCCTCGGTGCCGGTGATATTGATGTGTCTTTTCCCAAAGTGAATACAGTCAGCGGATTGGTTTAGCTGCGTGCGAGCTCGGGTCAAATGACTCAAGTTCTCTTATTGCTCAGATTTAGACAGTCTGTTACCAATCAACGAAATATGAAAGCACTTAGTCGGGTTAACTTCTGCCGAGGTTATGGATTGGGATCCCTGGATTCATACAATCCGTGGTCAGTGACACCTGCACCCGTGGCTTAATCAATCAGTCACTGGCGGTCATGTGGGGCCGGAACTATATCAGTTGGAGCCAGTGAACTATTTTTTTCATGATTCACAGCTGAGAAACTGAACTGAACTGAAACGCAAAGTTCAGCACACTGATTCATCTGCATCATCATTTTAGTCACTGTGAAGCTTACTCAAATCGCACGCACCAGCCACATTAGTTGGTTACCAAACAAATAAATAAAAATGATATTCTTGATAATTTTGCCGCTTTATCCGCTTTCATTCAAGGTCCTTGGAACGTGTACAACACTGGTCGTCCTCTCCTACCCAGCCAACTTCTTTGTCTACCTGATTATGTCAAAACCGTTTCGGACCACGTTCAAAATGACATTCCCCAAACTGTGGAACGTTTGCAGTTCTCTGAGGCGAAGGAGCGTCGCGCGGCACAACAGTCTTTGAGTTTCCAGATTTGTCAAACTATGGTGAACAATGTTTCGATTCATATTTTCCTGAAATGAAAACATCACTTTGACTCACCTGTGACTGATATTTACTCTGTGTATCCATCCAATGCAAACGTCACAAAAAATCGATATTTAAACTTGTTTTGTCTCAAGTGAATGACAATATATACAGTATATATATCTATATATCATTTCTGTCGTATCCCACGTGAAATCATTTCGAGTTACTGCATTTTTGTTTACCTAGGTGAACTGCCTTGCTAGGTTGCGTACGGGTAATCGATTTCATCAACCTAACCGTTCGAAAAGATCTTGAGCATGTGGAATAAAGCTTGCAAAAGCATAACTATCAAGTTTTTGTTTAAATCTGCTTATGCTTACCTGCTACAGACGTGTTGAGTGGACTCAGCTTCTGCTTGTATGGAAGAACGATTGAAAAATATACGACATTTTGGAATGAACAAGCTGTTTCACACTATTCCAGATGTTACTGAAAAGTCTTCCTCAGCCCACTACCGGTTTTTCCCTCTGTGGGGTCGATCAGATAAACACGGTCCCTATTTTCCGTCTACTTGAACCCAAACTGCAGGAGGGGCGAGATGGCTCAAGCAGTTAGAGCGCGAATTTACTGATCGGAAGGTCCGTGGTTCAAACCCGACCTCCAGCTCTCGACTTCCCCTGTCTGGGCTTGGGCAATCTGGCCCTCGTGCGTCCTCCGGGTGGCATGGCAGCTAGGTACCGGAAGGGTGTCAGCTGAACAATCGAAATTGCAGGAGATTAGCGAAACGCACTCCTTGCATAAGAGTTTGGTTTTGCTAGGAGACGTACTTGGAACCCAGCTGGATCTCTCATTGATTTTGCCGTTTTCCAAATTAATGTGCTCCACAAGTTCGTACAGTATTCCATATATCGTAGTACACTGTATAGGCGCGATGCACCAAAAGTAGTGGGTTTTTCGCAACCTAAAGCGTAGTGTTTCACATCTATATAATCACGATGTCTCTAACATAGCACACATTGGAATATGAGGCGGCCTGGTGCAGCATATTTAGTTACATTCAGGAACATGGTAAACGAACAATGCAGCTGGTATCCATCCCAGGTGAGTCTCCCGGTAAAATAAAAGTGCATTTCGCGATCAACAGACTACTTCCATGTTTCTTAAATATCCCCGCTGAGGAGACAACACCATACCCTGGCGAATTCAACAGTGGCTAAGCTATTCGATCGATGTATGCTCATTTGCACTCTGATCTGGTTTATTTTTCTGGAAACATAGCTGTTTCTGATATACGGCATTTAGGCGTTAAGTGCGATATTCCAGGTCTTCACTCATCACCGCATCGGTTTCATTTCCTTGGGATTCATCAGATATAGGACTACTATTTGGGTTGTTGAAACTAAACTTTAGAAGACTCCCTCTCGATTTGAGCTCATTCACACACACACACACACACACACACACATCAGTTTGGTTTTCACAGGGGACTGAAGTGAACTTCAGCGGCACCTTTCTTTGACGGTATTCTCCAACGGGATGATGTGCACAGGGTTTTAGTTGAAACCGTTTACAAGATCACAACAAGATACCTTAACCTTATGAGTAGTATATTGTGTCTCTACAAATGATATGTTGTTCATGTATGGCAGAAAAAAAGAATGTCCGCCCCACAACTTCATCCGTTTCAACCAGGTTCGAACATATTGCAGACGGGACCAATGACACATTGCTGTTCGCAGCCTTCTGATCCATTCCGTGCACGCATGAGATTGATTTTTCGGGTGTCGTGTCGGATAACGTCTCCGACACGAACTTGGTTTCGAGCCATGGGCTCATGATGACCACATGTTCTGTAACTGCGCGAGTAAAATTAGCCATTCGTGGTTTAGCTAAACAATACACAAAAAGGCAATTTTTACTCTGAAGGCGATGGCTTAAAGCTTCCTGACGAGCAGATTTATTCATTTTATTGATTTCCCATTACGAACAATGTACCGCACTCGTCTACACCATTTTAGTCCACTAA